TGATTTCCGCAATCCTCTTTATTTTTGTAGTATAGGAGACAATTTCAAGGCTTGGAAAAGACGATCCTTCTTAGGTTCAAAGTGCCAGTTCTGGCTGGTCCATCTCTGGACCAAAACATGTGTCTTTTGGACAGAAGTATTCTAATGTAGGGAGAGAAGAAAAAGGCAAGGCCCTTAAAGGTGGCAGCTAAGTGGAAGTAATGGACACTAAACTGCTGGGGAAAAAAGATGAGTTGGTAGGAGAGGGATAGGGTAACATTGAATTTTAACTGAATTATAAATTTAAGATCTCTATTTATTGTTTTAATGTTTTACATGGCACATTTATTGAATGAGTGTAAGCTGTCTAGAGTCGCCTTTGGTGAGATGGGCAGCATATGAGTTTATTAAATAAATAATAAATGAATGAATAAATAAATAAATATAAAATAAAATAAACATGGCCTTGCCCTACTTAACTTCTAAGACCCCTCCAGACTGTGTCTCAGTTAAAATCCAGAACAATCAAAAGCTTCTCAGTTTCTGTTGAGTAAGACTGAGATCTCCCAAAGGTTCTGGCTGAACTTCTAAAACACAGTATGTTTGATTCATGGTTAGAATGGAATCAATTCCCTGCCACAGGGAAGAGGGAGTCAGGCTGTTCTCCAAAGCGCCTGAAGGCAGGACGAGAAGCAACGGATGGAAACTGATCAAGGAGAGAAGCAACCTAGAACTAAGGAGAAACTTCCTGACAGTTAGAACAATTAACCAGTGGAACAACCTGCCTCCAGAAGCGGTGAATGCTCCAACACTGGAAGTCTTTAAGAAGAGACTGGACGGCCATTTGTCTGAAATGGTATAGGGTTTCCTGCCTGAGCAGGGGGTTGGACTAGATGACCGTCCAACTTTATCATCACCATCACCATTATTTAGTACTTTCACTAATGTATGTTAAATATTTATTTACTTTCCTCTAATACATGAGGTTCATAACGACCCCATCAAATGACTCTATGTTATTCTAAGGATATTATTAGTATTTCAAAATGTTTGAATCAGTATTCCAAGTTCAAAGTTATGAAACATGGCACAGAATGTGGGTAAACAACTTTGACAGAATTCCTAGAAGAATTTTAAGAATCAAGAAGTATATCTTACCGATTAAAACCAATTGCTTAATTGATACTGTAAGTATGTAGAAAAACATGTAATGTATGCTGCATCAGCCAAAGATAGGTTTTCCTGAGGCTTAATGCAGGTGAAAGGTTATCCCCAAAATTATTGTTCCTGAAGGAGGAGAACCGCTTTGGGGGAAACTCATTTCAGTAGTGAAACAAAGATAAGAATCTGGGAGAATTCTTTTTTAAATGTAACCTGGGCTAGAATGAGGGAAATCTAACTGGGATTATGGCAGGAAGGAAGTACTGTATGATAACTGGGGATTAATTAACATGTCAGATAAGAACAATGGAGGTTAGTTACATAGTTTGTGCCTACCCTTCCTGCTGCTATACATCTCACTCAGAGTAATTGCAGGTTACTCTCTCATCTGCTGGTACTGTTGTTAAATGCCTGATCAATGAGTATTACAATGCCAACCTGATGTGCTTATAATTAAAACGGGGACTGGGAAACTAGGAGACGGGTATGTCCTCCTAGTGCTTGACTCTGCTCCAGATTAGATAAGAAAGGGAGGTTGCTACAGTCTGCAGGAAATTTCTTTGCCATTCTAGCTTTCTATGTAACTAAAATCATTGTGGAGCAAATATTTATTACACATTTAGGGATTTTGTTGATGTACTTTCCACATCGACGCCCAGTTGTTCTTTTTGTCTGAACTGATAAATATGGACCCAAATTTTGGGCTGAGAACTCACTGAACAATTGTTCTGAGTTATTTAAGCATCCATACTAAAAGCATCCATGGTTAGAGCAGCCTAAAACTTCATAGCCACCACGACCAACATGAGGTTATCCAGACTAGCCCAAAACATATAGCTAGTCATGCTCTGGATTTTGTGTTCCTTCATGGTTTACTTTGCAAAGCATATTCAGTTCCCTGAGATAACTATAAACTGGATAAATGAAATTACTTTAAAACCTATTGGAATATAAGGGAAAAATAGAAACACAAGGCATTTGAGAAGCAAGCCATTCCCATTTCCACCTTTTATCCCTCAAAAGCAGACACTTCAAGAACCTTTCCACCATAAGCCCTCAGAAAAAAAAACATTGAAAGGGATTGGAATTTTCCAGTATTATCCACCTCCGGCTAATTGGGGGAGCCTGTGATCCTGGGAAAATTGCCCTCCCCCATTTTAACATCTAAAATAAAAATAAATCATGAGCAGCTTCTATATGTGGTTATTAAAGTACCAATATACTCAGCTACTTAAGATACCAAGTTGTTTAGCATATATAGCATGTGGCTGCTCTTCAATTTACTAAAATTTATTTAAATTTATGTCAGTTTAAGAGTTTTACAGACAATATCTCTCACATTTGTCCAGGTATTCTACAGTGAATGCCTGAATTTTCTAGCTGCAAGCAAGCTGCATCATATGATGCTTTAACATATCTCAAAAGGCAGAGGAAGAAGCTTGCAAAGTAAGTCAGATACTTAGTGTACTAGAAGGCACAGTCATTAAACAAAATTCTCCTTAATTTGATAAAAACATTTATTTATTTATTTATTTATTTATTTNTGCTTGGCCGACGGCACCCTGAGGAGGCCCGCTCTGTGGGAGCGTACCGGTCTGTGAGAGGGAATCTGTGGCAGAAGGCGGTCTCGGAGGTATCCAGGTCCGATGCCATGGAGCGCTTTAAAGGTGGTAACTAACACCTTAAAGCGCACCCGGAAGGCCACTGGCAACCAGTGCAGCTCGCGCAGCAGCGGCGTTACATACTAAATTGTTTTAAAAATAATATATACATATGCCTGACTCCATCTTCAGAAAAGTATGTTGTAAAGATCTCAATAAAATCTTTAAACTTAACAAAGGTAATTCTGTTTTGGATGACAATATTATGATTTGGGGGAGCTTAGTGCTACAATAATTACAAATAAATTCCAGAATAATATCTGCTTTAGGTCTTCTACAGCGGAAAAAAAAAATCCTGTGTTTTCTGCAAAAGTAACAAATCTGTTCTGGCAGGGGTGTCAAACTCGCAATGTCACATGACAATGGGATGGGTGCAATTTCGGCATGACGCATCCGGTCCGTGGGCCAGCAGTTTGACACCCCTGGGTTATGGCATTAGTTCACAGATGGTATCTATATGAACTTTCTTTAAGTCAAATAACTAATCCAAGAGTAGAGATCAATACAATCCTGTCTGTCTTCTCTTCTCTAAGCGTCCTGAGCCAAGACTTATTTTTCTTAAAAGGAAAATGATGCACTAGGGGCTCTCTTGCTGGGAGACATCTCTTCCACCGATTGAACAGTCTCGCAAAGAAACTGGGTCAGCCTCCAGAAATACATGATAAGGTTGAAGTTACATAGCTAGTAGGACTAAAAATTTGATTTAAAAAAGTGCCTCACAGAAGGTGAAAGTGCTTCACAGAAACTACAAATACGTTATAATGTACTTTAATAGATTAATTAATGATTACACCAAACTATAAAGCTTTAGGTCTGCATATTAGGATTGTTCTTTGTTGAAGTTATTACACATTAGGAAATCTGGCACTGACAAAAATGTGTTGCTTTCAGATTAATAATTGCTATTCCTCCCAATGGATTTATTCAACCGTAAATTTCGTGCACATCTACATATAACTGGAAAATCAGTTTAGACTTTTATTGCAAAGCATATTTCAACTGGAATGGAAAGTAAATCTGTAAATAGAGCAAGGAAGTGGCTGGAACCAAGGGATGGGATTTCACCACTGGGCATCCTTATTTTCTAAAGATACCAACCAGTTATGTAGAATAAAATAATTAAAGAATCTTATCAACAACCAAAGCCTAAATTTAAGTCTGATAGAGTCTTATGTTTTGCCTAGGATGTGTTAGTAATATTCTTTTAATCTCACCTATTCTTTGTCCACTGCTCCAGAGAATATACTCCTTTCTGGAACTGTTTTTGCTTTATAAATTTTTAAAAGTATTGATTCTGTCTTCTGGTCAGCTCCATTCTTTTTTATTGATACATGTTGCTTTTTGGAAAGATTATTAATTATGGCATAGACCTGCTGTGGAGTTTGGTGGCCTCAACATTGAAATAATAAATAAAATAAAAAGTGGTAAGACTAAGAAGTGAAGCTATCTTTCTGATACTGTGCTGTTAGATATGTTTTTACTGAGTTATACCTAGCTCTTTCAGTATAGCTGTGATTCAGCAATATATAGAAAGCCAGTTTTCCTACTTCTACCAAAGTTTCTAATTTTTACCAGAAGTTAGAAAACCAGTATAAAGGATTGAAGCAACAGAAGACTTGAATCATGGCATATTCAACTGAAAATGTCAACTGAATCCCCAATAAAAACCCAGGAGAGGAGAAGAGAGGAAATTGGCTGGCTCCACAGTATTATGAGTCAGACTTGTATCTTTGATTTTAATTATTCTTATTCAATATATATTTCTACCACAAAGCAATGGAAAATGATGTGCCTCATTTTTGTGCTATAAAAGAGGGGGGAAATGAACTGTAGGGTCTCTGATTCTATCCTGAACTTCAGAAACATCCAGAAGAAACATCTATATTATGTTTTTATTACTTCTAGAATTCAGGTCAATCTCTGAAATGAGGCTCTTCTTTTTCCTTGCAACAATGACACAGATTTGGTGAGCAAAGTTACTCAGATTTTCCTCTCTTTTCACAATCTCCAAATACACCTCAAGCCCATTTAGCTGTAGTAATAATTTAGGTTAAAAAAACAACAATAAAATTTATCATAAAAAAGATTAACTCTTAAAATTTATTCTAAACAAATTACTGAAACTAAACAAATGCTTAAAAGGTTTCTAATAAAATCAAAGTTTATTATAATTTTCAAGTTTTAAATCATGCCACTTACTCTGGTCGGCAAATCACCAGATCCCCTTTATTAGTGCCATAAGCTAATCCTAAACCTGGCTCAGGTAACCAGCGAGCAGAATTTATGCTGACGTGTCTTCTTTGATCGGCAGGCATTGGGTACAAGACATTGAACACTCTCTAAAACAAGAGAAACAAAATAGAATTAATAATAGTTCAAACAAGCAAAACTAAGTTTGGAAGAAGATCAAACTACTTTTTTTACATCCTGCAAATAAAATACTGTAAGTAATATGAATCAAGAAAGTGAAAAATCAAGGAAGTATCAATCATCCTCTACATTAAAAAAAAACAACTAGATAGCATTCTTTTCAGCAAAACAATTCCAAGTATTAACAAGCTGTCTTGGCACTGTGTAATCTACCACTGGGCTGGACATCAGAATTTTATTTAGCCTGTCTATAAACCTTGGCAAATATCACAGACACAAAGATGCATATATTAGTAAAATATAGATGCTGCATTTCTCTATTGCAAAAAAACACAAAACTATTATGTATCAAACTTGAAATATCAGAGAATGTTGTAAACCAGAATTTAAAAAGGCAGAATGGAATGGGGAGAAGGAATCAAGCTTACTAAATATGTATGTATACGTCATGTGATTTCTTAATTTATTGACTCTTACTTCTTTCTCCTCTGATCATTTAAGGATATGAGGATATTTTTGATGCATGTATGTGTGCGCACACATTATCATCGGCCCAATCAATCCACGACAGGAGGAAAAATGTCTTCCTTCAAGGTTATGTACTGTAAGTGTAATCTACCAGTCCAGAGCAGGCTGGGAGATATAAAGGGGAGTTTTTTTTGTCTTTACAATCTAGGGCTGAGATGATTGGGCCAAGTTGTCTGACTAGCTTGTATACCTAAAACCTAGCTCATCCTACTCCTAGTCCAGTACCTTACACACTACATCAAAGTGGCTCTAGTGTGTTTGTGTATATGTGTGTGTATTAAAAAGACACTGAATAATGATAGCTACTCAGAAGTTAATAATGATATATCAATAAACTTTCACATCAATAAAAGGAATGTTAGTGGAATACATAATGACTTTGTCCACTTTAAAATAACATATAAATAATTGGGGGGGGGGCATTTTATCTTCCCCAAAAGTAAGTGGCATTTGGAGAACTTCAGCGTAAACCGAGACCGTCAACCTCTTTGGTGTTATCATTAATACCTACATAATTTCAGCATACCTGTCCTACTCTCTTGGCTGTGTAATAAAGAATCCAATATACACTGATTGTATCTGTTGCCATGGAGATTATGGTATGCACTCCAGTTTTAATGGGGCTGTGATAACGAGAAGCCTTTTATAAGAGCAAAGTAGCGTTTATTCAGAAAAATAAGCATTGTTTTGAGATATAAGAGGAAAAAAAAGAATGCACTAGGGGATCATAATGCAAACTTGCTTCATGAATAAACAATTTCTCTCAGGCAACTGCTTCTTGCCAAGAAATGTGGCTGGAAATGACTCCTTGGATCTAGCAATTGCTATACCACACTTACTGTTCATTTCCATTGGGAAATTTTAGCCGTCTGCATCTATCACAAAAACTCAACTTTCTTCACAAACATCAATTAATTGTCTATGAGAGCATAGCTCCATATGGCCTAAATCATCCATGCCAAGGATGCTTAATATTGTGAATTATAGGAAGGAGGATGGTTCCTACCATCATGGTGGACAAGCCACCATACAGGACAAGGGGAGAATCTCAACTCTACTGCACTGTCTTGAGGAGAGAATTTCTCCTCCTATTCCTAATCTTTCCAGAAAAACAAAAACAAATCCAAAATTAATTTCCCCTGATGTATCTATCATTATCAGATAAATAGAAACAAAAATCTAACTTCTCTTTTTAATACACTTGATGTGAGAATAAAGATGGCATGAGTACATTTTTAAAAGATTTTTAAAAAGCAGCTTTGTTGGAATAAAATAGAGAATAACTGTTCAATGATGGGGTGTATTTGTTTAATTCCCACTATACAAATACTCCAAGTAAGATAAAGGAAAAAGGGCTGATTTAGGATATATCAATCCATACTTACAGTACAAAAACATTTCCTCTCTTATTCTGTAGCAAATGTTCTGTCAAATATCACATCACCAAATGATATCCTAACTTCATATCCTTGTCAATTTACCTTGTCAGACTAACAGTAATTGCAACATAAGCAGTCTTCTTGGTAGAGAGCTGACTTGTTCCTCACAAGAACACTGCTGTAGGTCAGAGATTACTTTTGTGCAGAGTGTTCCTGAGTGAGGTCTTCAGTATTTTGCCTATCTTGCTATGATGAAATTAACCCATCAGGAAAACCACAATGCTTCCTATTGAGTTTCTAAAACTAAAAATGAATTTCACTCCTTCCCCCCCCCCCAGGATCTGCTCTTACGCCTTTGTTTATTTTTCTTCCAAATCTATGAAGTCTAAAACTCTCAAATACTGCTTTTTAAATTCAATATTTTTAGATGGGAATTGGCACTTGTGTTGCTTAACTGGCTATTTATTAACTTGGACTTTTTCTTTAGCCTTTAAGCCACCTAAGATACCAATGACCTGTGGGAGACAGATAATAGTCTAACAACTTTTCCATATGGTTCTGAAAAGTTTATTAGACAGAACAAACTAAAACAGTCTGAATTGTCCTGAGGGGGAAGGAGACAAATAGGAGAAATCAGATTGTTGCCTTTTCCCTGGTATGCTACAGGCTTTCTATTCTCTCCATTTCTTTTAACACCTACATACAATCACTAGGAGAGAACATCTCAATATGCTGATAATACATCTCATACATGTCATCCTGGGACATAACACACACTGCAGCAGAAGTGTTGATCCAGTAATTGGAAACAAAGGATCTGAATGGGGAAAAATAGACTCCCTGCAAGAAAGAATGGCTATGGGTTTCTGGATCTAATGATTCCAGGCCAATATTATTATTTTTTTAACTCTAACAGAGTCATGCTCTCCCATTCAGAGATGGGTTGCAGTTTTGGAATCATCAAATACTTATAGCTCCTGCTTGACTAGCAGATGGCAGCTGTGGCAAGAAGTGTTTATAATGCATAGCTTATATCTAATGTGTTAATTATGGCCATTCCTGGATAACAGGAACCCCTGTTCTCATATAATAATAATAATAATAATAATAATAATAATAATAATAATAATAATAATAATAATAATAATAATAATAATAATAATAATAATAATAATAATAACAACAACAATAATAATAATAATAATAATAATAAAAAGTTGGAAGGGACCTTGGAGGTCATCTAGTCCATAATGCACTCTAAATGGGACTGCTCTTGAAGAGCCTTCAGAAACTACAACGACAAAATACAACAGCCTGAGCAATGATGGATATATCCCAATATACTGGATTAACTGTTGCTTTGGGAGCTGCATTGGTTACTGGTTGGCTTACAGATGATCCATGGTGCTGGTTGTCACTTTAAGGTCTTACATGGCTCTGCATCGAGTTATTGAGAGACCTCTATCCATCTGCCCATCTGATCAGATCAAATATTGTCAGCTCCTTTCAGGTCTCGTCCTTATGAAACTGTCACATATACTTTGGAATTCCCTCCCCTGAGCTAGTCTTTTTCTCCCTGGTTTCAGTAAAGCAGTCAAAACCTGGTTGTTTCATCTAGCACAGGAAATGGTATGCTGTGACTCAAAGTGAAGCACACAACCTTGTATTTTCTGATTTATAAATGTTGATGTTAATCTTTGTTTATATTGAGGGCTTTTATGACTTTACAGTCCCATCAGATGGGAAAGACAATTAAGACATAACATTAGTGCACAAAGATTTTATTTCTTGCCGTATACAACTCTAATAGTATTCACACAAATTGTCATTTTATACGATATCTGTGACTGATCACTGAAAAAAAACCCTTGCTTTTTGGTTGATAAAGATGATAAAGACAAGTTAGCTATAGCAGAGTAATTGGCCACTGATGTTTCCTCAGTCAAATACTTTAGGCTGCTATTATTCAAATTTGCCCATTATTTATGGATTCATTGTTGTTTGGATCATTGTTGTTTGGTAAAAGCACAATTCACCTTCTTGTATATTGAAGAAGCCAAAAACTGCCCATTTAAAGAGATGTCGGAAAAAGTGCTAGTTTTAATTTTTGCACTGACTAAATATATCAGTAACCAGAAATTACAGGAATAGTTAGCTTCTTCTTTCCAATACATGACTGACACTACTATTTCCTATTTCCAACTTATTCTGAACCATGACAACAATATAAAGGCACAGTTCTTGGGGCCCTTTGAAGCTAGGGATAACAGCCTCCCTCCTTTAATTTTACAGGTTCTTTTTCCTAACAAAATATCTCCCCAGTGCCTTTTAAAGTGTTAAATCTTGTCTGCAAATTGAATAGTTTCACATACAGACAGGAAAAAATAACCCACAACAGTGTTATTTCATATCCTTGCTGTATTTCAGCTCATAAATGTATAAATTTAAGTCCATTCTCATCTGGACTAATTCCAAAGCAAACGAGCATAGTCAAACTAGCTCTTAGTATTGTTGCTCTAAACCAGAATTAATAACTAAAAATAATGTTGAAACAGCAAGATATTTAATGAAAACTAATCACTGAATCATGGAATGATTATAGTAAGCCTCTACCACATGTATGTAGTAAGCCTCTACCACATGTACTATATAATTTGGTTGTGTACTGTTTTTAACAGTTAACTCAGTGCACAGAAGTTAAAACAGACTCTTCTTGATATTGGTATTAATGAGGACAAGATAAACCCGTTGTCAGAAACCTGAAAGAATTCCACATCAGATCCTATAGAGTTGAAGGAGAATTATAGATAATAAAGAAATAGGAAAAACAAAACCTAGCAGTTGGAGGATGACTATAGGGATAGTGTAATGTAACAAAAAGAAGTGGATATAAAGGGAAAGAAGCTGAGAATGGAACAACTACAGTGATTCTCATATGTGCTATATGATGTTAAAATTAGTTAGTGTTTTATCCACAGGTTTGATATTATGAAATTGTTTTTCACTGAGTATTCTTTTTTAAAAACAAAAAACAAAACCTCTTAATAGGATTAAAAGTATCA